CCCCCCCCCCCCCGCCCTTATAATGCTATACTGTCCAGAGAGACAGGCTGTCCGGGTTGGCACCTGAAGCAGAGCTCTGAGGGGCCACCTAGTCAGGAGCTGGAAGCAACCGATGCAGGAGGCAGTGTAAGCTGTGAGCAGCTCTCACTGGCAACTGGCTGCCAGTCAAGTCCCAGTTTCCGTGTTTCCCTTACTGGACCCACCCAGTCCCCTGTCCCAGGTTGTCCTTCTGTAGAGAGGTACTGATGCAGAGCCCCCTTACCCGATTTTCACCTCCTCACAGCTCTCTGGAGGCATGTGGGAGGCCATTGGGGTGCAGGAGCAAGCGGGGCCACACCACTTACTTCCTCTGTGACCTAGCTCTGGCCCTCGCCCTCTGTGGGCTTTGTCTTCTCTATCTACAAAATAAAGTGCTTGGATGGAGGCGGAGGGCTTAGCGGTCATCAACAAGCCTTATCTAGGAGCTGCCTGGTTCTAGAGACTATGGGCATCAGTCAGGCCTTTTCTGGACAGAAGGTTCTAGAAGAGTGATGATCAAATACGAAGCACGGGAAACTATGTATGTGGCATGTGTCACTTTCTTGGCCCCCATCCTCAGGGATTCTCATGGGGGCGCGATGGGTTCAGAAGTCTGTCAAATAAATATTGTCGTTTTGGCAGCTCATTGATTGACCTACGTTTACTGTTTCTGTCTCTACAGCTTGGGGGTCTGGTCCACAGTCCCGTCAACTGTCCCCTGCTGGGCTTCTCAGCCGTCAGCACTTCCCTTCCACAGGGCTACCTCTGGGTAAGTAGTCCTTCGCCTAGCTAGGACAGGGTGGCCGTCTGTCCTCACGATGGGGACAGAGAGGGTGATTCTCAAGGAGGGTTCTGAGAAAGCCACCCACCTGTCTAGCAGCTCTGTCAAAGGCTTCCTAGGAACTTCGGGGCTTGGAGGTGGGGTTGGTGGTGGAGCCTTATCCAGGGTAACCGCACCCAGGGCCAGGGAGGTATTGGCAAGGTCCCAGACTTCTAGGAGAGAGATAAGGGTAAGCTATGCAGAAGTCCAGATTGCAGGAGGCCCAGGTCAGAAGAGGCTCAGGTCATAGGAGGGCTGGGTCTCCGGCCCCACCCAGGGCTTAGGCATCAGCACTGGCTCTTCCTCACCTCAATGGAGCTTCTAGCCACCTTCTTTACTTCCAGGGTTATCAACAAAACTCTGTCTTTTTTTTAAAATGAGGGCCCCCATGCTCCTTGGGTTGCTGTTTGTGTCCTATATGCAGGATTCTGGCTTCCCTGCCCCTCGCCACCCTCTAGCACATGCTCCTGCCTGTCCCTGGGAATTCGTGCAGCAGAACCTTGGCTTACCCTTTAGACTGCAGTACAAATGTTGATGTTTTCCTTCTCTGTTTCCCAATTATCATCTAGCACCTGATGAATCTATTCATCTATGCATGAATGCATCTACTTACCCTGTGGATCCTTTATCTGTTCATTCATCCATCCATTTGTGCATCCATCTGTCCGTCTGTCTGTCTGTCCATCATTCCATCCATCCATCCATCCATCCATCCATCCTTTCAGTCATCCATCCATCCAATCATCCATCTAACCTTCCACCCTTCCACACACCCACCAATGCAACCACCACTTATCCATCCAATTGCTCACTCATGCATACATGTGTGCATCTGTCCATTCCCTTGGCAGGTATACACATGAGGTGCACACCATGAGCTAGATACAAAAGTAACACAGTGAATGGGACAGAGGGTTGTTTTAAGGAGACAGAATAGCTCATTAGCTCTTATTTGGGAGGCCTTTATAGAGGAGAAACTGGAAAACCGACTGGTTATTGCATCTACTTGAACCATTTCTTGATTTCCTTTGGCCCCTGAAGCTAATTTGTGTCCTTATAGCTGGGAACTAATGACCTTTGTGAGATCAGGTTGTGTGTGGGATGGACAGAGGACACACCTTTCCATTACTATCCCCAGTCACAGTGTGTCTGTGTACGCATGTGTCGGTGTGTATCTGCGTGTTTGTCCGTGTATCTGTGTCAGGGTGCGGTCCCCGGGAAGGTGTGCCCTAGTCACTGGCTTGACAGCCTCTCCGGGCCTCTGCTTCTAGGTTGGAGGTGGGCAGGAGGGTGCTGGTGGCCAGGTGGAGATCTTCTCCCTGAACCGGCCTTCACCACGCACTGTCAAGTCCTTCCCCCTGGCAGCCCCCGTGCTCTGCATAGAGTACATTCCGGATCCGGAGGAGGAGGCCGAGGGTACAGAGGAGAGCCGGGTGGCTGCTGACCCCTCGGCTGCAGCGCACCCCACCGTCTGCCTCGGCTTACAGGATGGCAGGTGAGGGGCAGGAGGACGGGTCGGGATGGCTTGTCCTGCCAGGCAGGTGGCTGCAGGTAGTCCCTCCAGCTCTTCGGGTCACTAGCCAAAGCACTCTTTCCCAGCTTGGTGTCACCAGGAAGATGGGGACCGGAGACAGCCATTGTGGCATATAAGTGTCAAGAGTAGCTTATGTCATAGCTGACAGCTCCCATACCTCTGGCACAGCTTCCTGGCTGTGCATCCTTAGCCACATCATGTCAAGCCAGGCTCTGGTCTGTGGTGAAGCTCAGGAGTCCTGCAGTCTCGCCATGTTGAGTGACTGAGTCTCAGGTTCCTATAGTCAGTGAGGCTTAGTGCTCCCCATCCCCATGCAGGGCCATACGAGTACAGGAGGGCCTAATGGGGGTAGAATGTATGAAAGAGAATCCCCCTGTATCTCTGCTCTTCACCTTGTCCTGTAGAAGGACGGTGTGTGTCTCCGGAGTACCTACTGTGTGCCTCACATATGCTGAGGGGGCTCTCTCACAGTGACCTTGCAGCCTGGAGGGGTTATCTTTATTCCCATTTCCCACACAGGGGGAGTCGAAGCTAGCAGCATTCTGAGAGGTGGTGAGGAGCCATGCTTACCCCCCTCCATAGTCTGGGTTGGGACTGTAGCCTTGGGCCCCGTCCGGGCCTGGACTTAGGAGAGATCTGGTGAAAACCTTTTATTTTAGTTTTGAGCCAAGATACATTTCATGTAATATAATCTTAGGGGTCTGGAAGTGTGGCTTGGTGGGTGAACGCTTGCATAGCCTACACAAGGTCCGAGCTCCATCCCTAGACCTTCAGACTGGGCGCGGTGTTTCATGTCTGTGATCCTGGCACCTGAGAGGTGGTGGCAAGAGGATCAGAAGTTTAAGGCCATCCTTGGTTACATTAGCAACATGGAGACCAGCCTGGATCACACTGAGACCCTGATTCAAAAAACAAAGCAAAGCAAAACAAGCAATATGAAACAGAATCACCGTTTTTAGCTATTTTAAGGAGCACAACTTGGTGGCTTCTGGCAGCCGCTACCGAGCTCCAGAACATTCTCATTTCTCCCCAGAGAAGCTTTTACCCATCTCATCCCCTCCTCAGAAACTGCTGATCACCCTCGGCCTCTGAGGGAATGTCCTCAGGCATGCCCTATACATGGCATCTAGTGCCTCATAGCCTCTGCTCCGGCTTCTCTTTACCCTGTGCATTCTTACACAGCCCAGGGGTGTTGTCATGCTTTGTTCCCCGATGGCCCTCAAGTGGGCACCCCTGATCATTTGAGGAAGAGAGCTGAAGGTCAGCACTCCGGGTCAGCAGCTAGGAGCTGGAGGTTGGATTTGAACTCAGGTCTGAGTGGCACTGGAACTCGGTACCTTTCTCATTGTATTCTGGAGCCAGAGTCCTGACTGGTGGCAGAAGCCAGGGTTTCTGTAGGAGGGAGGAACAAGGCTGGGCAAGTGAGGCCCATGAACGGGTAGGAGTCTTACTGATAGCATCTCTCCCTTCAGCATCCTGCTTTATGGCAGCGTGGACACTGGGACCCAGTGCCTGGCAACCTGCAAGAGTCCAGGCCCGCAGCCTGTGCTCTGTTTGCGGCACAGCCCCTTCTATCTACTTGCTGGCCTACAGGACGGGACCCTCGCTGCCTATCCTCGGACCAGTGGTGAGGACTGGTGGGTGGGAGGGCTTAGGGGGCATCAGGGCACCAAACTGGGCCTGGATCCTAAGCTGAGAGATTGAACAACACAGGCTGGGGAGGCAGTGTCGGAACGGGCTAATCAGGATGGGGGGTTCTGAGACTTGACCTTCACTGGGGTCTACTGCTGGGTTCCCACACATTTGAGTCCCTGTAGAAGGAGAGCATCTATTTCTCTGCCAGTAGACAAGTGCTGGGGGACAGTGCCCCATGGGCTGAGAGACCGAGGGTGGTCTTGGAAAGACCTGGATTCTTGTTCAGGCTCTGCCCTGTGACAGCCGTGTCCCCAGTAAGTGGCTCTTTTTTTGTGCCTTGGGCTCTTTTGTAAAGTGAGAGTCGGGTGGTGTCCACCCCTCTTGTTTCTTGCAAACAAAATGACTCAGTGTAGACTGGGCCCAGGCCAGGATGGGTGCTGAGAAGGGGAGGCACCTTTGGGTTTTCACCGTCAGAGCTGTCGCTGGCATTGTCACGGAGCCTGAAGTAGGAGGACGGCAGGGTTATGCTGCAGCCGGATGCACTGCACCCCAGTGCTCCAGGACCGGTGTCAAGGATGTGATATACCCTCATCATCATCTTAAGCCTGGATGCTACCCTGGGGAGTCACCACTGTTCCAGGCGCTAGGACACTGAGCCTGGGGGAGGGAGGATCACAACTCCCTCATAGCCTTGTGAGAGCTGTGCACGGTCCCTGAGCCTTGCTTAGTCCCTAGTCTTGTGGTAAGGACCCAGTGGCAAGTGTGGCGGGCCCCAAGACTCTACAGCAGTGTCTCCCCTCCCCCCAGGCACCCAGCTCAGCTCAGATCCGATGGCTGCGTCATCCTTGCAGCCTGTTGCAGGGTTATAAACGGATATTTGCAGTGAGGGTTTTTTTTCCCTACTTGGCACTATGTTGGTATTTTTAATTAGCTTTTGATAAGGCATTTATAGTTTTTAATTAAAGGGGGAAGAAGGGAAAAAAATCCCTTACCATTAGACAGAACAGAGCGTGTGTATGAATGTAAATCCTGGCTCAGATGTGCTGGGGTAGACAAGGGGGTCTGAAGGGACCGCCCACCCTCCTGTGTGCTCTAGACACCACACGACTCTAGCTTCAACCAGCCCTGCCTACCTGTGTGGGTGCTTAGGTGGGCGTGGCAGAGCTGCTGTAGGGCTCAAACAGCACAAGTTCAAGATCAAGACTCTTGAGAAGGGTCCATCCTAGACTTCTCCGGCTCTCAGTGGCATCTTGACTTGGGATGACATCACTTGTGTCTTCACGGGCCTCATGAGGATGTCTCCCTGTTCATGCGCCCTTGTGTCCCAATCTCCCCTTATAAGGACGCCTGTCACCCTGGGTTAGGGCTCCACCAACCCAGGGCCACTAATTATATCCGGAGGAATGCTGTCTCCAAGAAAGGGTGCATTCTGAGGCATTGGTGCAGGGTTAGGGCTTCAGTGGAGTCCCTGATGGAGTTTTGGGTTTAACAACTGGCTTTCAGCTTAGGGTTAGAGCCTGCTAGCTTGTCAGAATGGAGACCCCCTGGGGGTATTACACAACCTCCCTTTCCTTTTGGGGCCTCTTCCCTGCAAATGTTTGCTTCCCCAATATGTACGAACACCTACTGTGTTCCACGGATACGCTGGTCAACCCAGCAGACATGCCTCCCATCCTTGTGAGATTTAAAGCCTCCGGAGGGAGGTCAGAATAGCCAAAGCAACAAGCAGGAAGCTGGGGGCTCCTGATGTAAGACTGGGATCACCGTTCGAGCCTGACTACCTAGTAGAATGAACTGGGTGCCTGGGGTCCATTCCAAGAGGCAGGCCCTGAAGCTGAGACCTGAGAGAGAGGTGGCCAGACAAGTGGCAAGTTGAGGGAAAAGTGTTTGGAGCAGAGGAACCAGTGTGTGTGTGAAGGCCAGAGGCAGGAGTATGCCTAGCATCATGGGGGCCCCAGAGAGGAGGATGCAGAACTAGCTAATAGCAAGAGGGTAAGTGGCACTGGGAAATCTGGGGATAGACAGCTGCTCATGAGGACCTTGTCTTAGCTCACTGGGAAGTAGAGAGATGCAATACATAGTCTAGACACTGGCCCGTTGGACAGGAGGGCAGGTGCACCCGGCATTGTACCCTTTCTAGAATCTTCTTCTCCTGGTGTCTGTGGGTGTAGCTGTCATGGCCTCTGAGAGGGCTTCCCTTCCCCCGGTCCCCAGCTACCCTGTGCTTCCCCAAAGAGGTGATCCCTGGCCTGAACCAGTCTCTTAGAACCACAGCATCACATGGTTTAAAATAGGCCCCAGAGTCCCCTTGCCTCAGGAGCAGAGGCGTTTCTCTGTACTGTCCCTGGGCCAGCCTCCAGGTACCCTTCCAGAACCTCTCCAGGGTGCCCCGGATGGCGAGGAGTGTCTGGGATGCGGACTGCCCAGGCTCCAGTGCTGGATGAGATGTGTATAGCAAAAAGCAGCCTCCTTACCTGTGAAATGGGGGTGCAGACATATGTCCTGACGGGCTGTGTGTGCAGGTTACACGTGCAGATTTCCTCGGGGCCTACAGTGGAGCCCCCACCCCCACCCAGGGTGGGCTCCTCTCAGCCTCAGTGGCTTTCGCTCTGTGTTCTGCCTCCTGGCACCAGCCAGATCTGGACCCCTGTGGGAGACCAGCGGGCTGTGTCACCTGAGGCTAGGGGAGGGGGTGGAGAGATGCTGGCATCCTGAAGGTGCCTTTGCTGAGACAGGCCTTCTTCGCTGCTGACCGGCTGTGCAGTCAGAGCCAGCCTAGATGAATGGGCTGTCACGCAGGGGCGGGGGCGGGCCCCGCGAGTGCAGGTTCTGGACCATGTGCTTGCTAACAACTACCCAAGGGTTGGGAAGCGGGGCTGGCTGGAGGGGATGCCCCTCGAGCCCTGCCCAGCCTCAGAAATTACCTTTGTAGTCTGTGAAGCCAGTGAAGTGGGGGCTGGAAGGACTGTAGAGGACAGAATCTGTCCAGAAAACCAAGTCCCAGCAAGGTCAGCAAGTCCAGGGAGCCCCCGGGGGCTCTGACGGGGGCTCCTGGCCACTGTCCACTCTGATACAAATTTATATTGAATTTTATCACAGTTCCTGCTTTGGAGGGCTTCGGGGGACACCAACCCATGAAGGTGGGATGGTCAGTGTACACATGACCCGCAGGCCTTCAATGACTGTGGTGTACTGTCCTTGCGTGGCAGGTGCAAGGGTTCATCAGTCAATGCTGTGGTGTCCTTGGGTGAACCCCAGTTCCCAGCCTCTGAGATGCTACCCTAGCATCTTTAGCTCCTTTCCCCAAGTGTTAACCCACTCACATGTTAGCCACAGTGGCAGAGGCTCTGGCATCTGGCCACAGTCACTGCTCACCTTTGGCCACTAGGGGGCACTCAAAAGCCTTGTATTTCCCTGAATCTGGTGCCCTGGGTCCAGGGTCACATTCCTATGGAGGTCTGGCCTCCTTCTGGTCACCTGCCCCTCCCAGACACCATTCCCAGCACAGAACTGGAAGCTGGGCTGGGAGGCAGCCAGGCTAGACCCAGCTCTGGGTTCAAACTCCTTGGGGGAATTGCTCAGGTTCTCTACTCTGGGCCTCTGTTGTCACCTTTAATTAAGATGGCGCCAGCACTGGCTTCTGTAGACTACCCGGAGCCAGTGAGCAGGGACGACCATGCAGCTGTGTGACTTGGGTAACTGAACTTGCAGCCTGTTAGCTGTAAGTCAGGGCCAGTGACAGTATCTGCCGCGCAGGCTTGTGGGAGGTAAAGACTTCATTCATGAGCAGAGCGACTGGCACACAGACGCGGAGGGGACTCAGCGTTGGCCACGGGCACATTTCACCAGTGCCCCATGCTGTGTTGGGTCAGCATGCGCAGTTCATTGGCTCCTTGCATCCTCTGAGGAGTGTGGGAGGTGTGGTTATCACACCCATATTAGAGAAAGACGCCGAGGCTCAGAGAGGCCAAGTCCCTGCCCAAATGGACTTGGCACTCAGAGCCACAGAGTGCTCTAGCCTGGCCTGCCTGCTGTGCGTGTGGTCATGCTCTGAGTTGGAAGGAGTGGTAGTGTGTACGGGAGGGGGTCCCCCAGTTCTTAATTTGTTAGCTGGGCTGGGAGTATGGAGCAGGGTTCAGGCGGAGGCTGGTGGTGGAGGACAGGCTGACCACATGCGGCCAGGAGGTGGGGTGAGGAGTTTGGTGGCTTCCCCGTATAACTTGGGGTCTTCCATCTCTGGGGACAGCAGGTGACGCAGAGGAGGGTATGTCTGCGGTGAGTGACTTTCTGTGAATGGTCTTCTGGCGACCTAGGAGGTGTGGGGGGGCAGAGGACCCTCTCCTGCAGCTGACCCTATCCTGTCTTCCCAGCCTATTGCTCTAGCATGTGCACTCCCCACAGACCCCTCATTGGGCCTCAGCTCCCCCAAGTCTCCTCTCTGCCCTGCACCCTGACTGCCTAGGGCAGCCACTGGGGCTCAGTGCAGCCTGAGATGTGACTGCAGAGAAGCCAGTGTCCAGCCACTGTGATCAGGTGCTAGGGAGCGGTTCTCAGTGAGCTGGGCATGGTTGGAGGCGGGGAGGGGAGATGCTTATTTCTGGCCAGGCTGCTGCTTCAGTCTCTGGGAATGGAAGATAGAAATGTCACCTCTCAGAGCTTTTCCCCGCTGCATCTGGTGGTGTCTCTGGAGGGAAAGATCTTGGCAAAGTGACAGGAGCATCCTCGGGTGACAGGGTCTGAGGGAAGTCCTCATGATGTTGAGATGAGCTGGGTTCTCAGTGAAGTCCTTTCCCCCATCCAAACTGAGACTTTGAGAAACTGAGGGGAGGTCCACTCAAGGCCCTTAGCAGAATCAGGACCGTGCTGGTCACAAGTCCCTGAACTCTGGGGTCCTGCGACCTCCCTGCAGGAACTATTGTGGAGATTGCCTCTCCCAGAAGCCCCTGTGTATCCGTCCTCCACGTGTCTGTTCCTTGGTGTTTGGCACATGAGCTCATAACTGGATTGGAAGCTGCTGTCTCTACCCATTATAGTTTTCCAGAGGGCGGGGCCTATAGCCGCTCCCGCCTCTGTTCTAGGCACCCAGCTCATGGCCCAACTGGTCATAGGTGCTTTCTGAGTGTGTGTGGAGTGAATGAATGAGGGAGAGAGAGTCAGAGAAGGGGGGAAGTGCAGGGTGGTCCCCAGGGAGGATAATATCAGTCACCCCCGTTCAATGAGGGTGAAAGACCCTGGTGGGGAAGGTATTTGGAGCTCTCAGCCAAGCTCCCCCTGCAAGGTTTCAGTCATTGACCCATGTGCTCTTCTCTCCCATAGGTGGGGTTCCCTGGGACCTGGAGAGTCCCCCCATGTGCTTGACGGTGGGCCCAGGGCCCATTCGCACACTACTGAGCCTGGAAGATGCCGCATGGGCCAGCTGTGGGCCGCGGGTCACTGTCCTGGATGCTGCCACTCTGCAGACTCAGGTACCCATACCCGGGACTTGTGACCCCAGAGTCCCTGCTGGCACACAGAGCTACAGCCATCTTGTGGCCTGTGCTCTTTAAGCAGAGGTATAGGTGGGGGCCAGCTGTGTGTCTGTGTCTCTTCTGGGATGAGGGCCCAGCCTCATGGGCTATGCCAGGCTTGCCTGTCCCAGCTCGTCACATCCCATGCTTCATCCTTAGTGGCTGATAGGGACTTTGTGGTGGCTTCCCAGATGGTATTTTGGTGACATTTGCCATTGTTGATGTGTTTGGATTATTGATCTGATCAGGATATGGCGCCAGACCCAGAGGGGAGCCTGACAAAGGTCCCCAGACAGGCAGGCTCCTCGGGCATGCACCCTGGTGGGGGCCTCTTTTCCTGTCTCTGCTCGGTTCTCTGTCTGGGACACCTCTGATTTGATACTTGATAGCTCAGGCACACCAGGTAGAACTTGGTGCTGCTAGCTTTTAGGTGGCCAGGGCAGGGTCCTGGAAGGTTTAGTCTTCACAGGATAAGTGGGGAAACTGAGGTATGGATGCAATGAATGATCTCTAGGTGTGTGTGTGTGTGTGTGTGTGTGTGTGTGTGTGAGAGAGAGAGAGAGAGAGAGAGAGAGAGAGAGAGAGAGAGAGAGAGAGAGAAGTCCTTGGGGACGGGACCTAATAGTCTCATTATCCATGTTCCTGCTTTTGCTGAAGGCTGGATGGGAGAGAGTCTGAGCTGACACATGGGCCTGTCTGTGGCCAGTCATCACTTGGACAATGAACACCTTCATGTTCCCCACGGAAACACTGGTTTCTGGTACATGAAGGAGGACAACATATGTCCTTTCTGAGGTCCTGTGGCTCCCTGTAGGAGGCAGAACCAAGAGGTTTGTGGGTGTCCTAGGTGAGGAGGCTCATGCAGGGCCAGAGGCTGAGGCAGTCTCAGGAGTCTCACACACAGGTCTGAGGACCAGAGAGTCATTAAGGCAAATGCCAGTTTGAAGCAGGCAGTCTGAGGACCCCAAAGCGTTGAGGCCTGGCTCTGAAGATGGAAATACCTTCCATCTGCCTTAGCTACCGAGTCAGAGAGCAATTCTCCCTCTCAGCTGTGGTGGTCGCTGGACCACGTGAGGCCCACACACTTGGGGAGGCCATCTGTGTGGCTCTGTCTGTAGGCCAAATCTTCTTCTTCTACCGAAACACCCTCACAGACATGCCCTGAGTCATGTTTGACCAGCTACCTGGACACTGGTCAGGTCATTGCCTGAAGTGATGCTAAAGTGGCCATGTTGAAAGAGCTGCAGTACCAGCCCACACCAGCAGGGGCAATGTGGTGGACGTGGGGGCAGTTGGATGACTGACCGTATGCCCGCCAGCTCTTTAGCAGGGGAGGCTGTGTTTTGTGAGCCACATGGCTCGTGTGTGTGTGTGTGTGTGTGTGTGTGTGTGTGTGTGTGCAACCTTGAGTGTCATTCCTCAGGTACTGTCTATCTTTATCTTCAAGACAGAGTCTCTCTGATCCTGGAACTTATCAACTAGGCTGGCTGATTGTGTTCCCCTGGGATCTGCCTATCTCTGTCCCACCTCCATTCCCAGCGCTGGGATACAAGATGTGCCGCCATGTTCTGGATTTTTTTTTTCTTTAGTATGGGTTCTGGGGGTTGAACGCAAGTATGCACGCTATGCCATCTCCCAAGCCCCATGCTGCCATTTGTAGAGAGAAAGCTGGGGTTGCTGGTAGCCACTTTGCTGCTCCCATGGGGTCTGTCCCATTCAGACATGGCACTGAGGACCTGTGACCTCCCTGGTGCTGCTGCGCCAGACCAGAGGCCAGGGAGGTGTGGCCAGTGAGAACGCAACCCTATCCTCCTGATTCCTTGTTTTCCTGAAGAGTGGGGAGGGGACCTGGTAGCTGTAACCACAGACCCTCTTCCTGGCCCCCTGCTGTACCCTAGAAGACTTCCCTGCTAGGAACTCCCCCCCCCCACTTCCCTTCAAGGTCCAGCCACACCTCCTCTATCTTGGGAAAGGAAAGCGGATGAGGTCAGCTGGCACACCAGGTCCTGTGGTCCCTGAGACTGTTCCCTTAGAAGTCTCTTTCAGGGAGGGAGTGCTCTTTCAGGGGAACCGAGGATGGTGGCTGCTGTGGAGCTGGAGATCAGACTGGGGAAGCTGGAAGTTGGCTGCCTCCCCCAGACTCCCGGGCGATCTCGTTAAACAGGAGCAGTGGAGGCTCCCGAGAGGGGAGGAGTTGGCAGGACTGTGAAATGTCCCACCTCTGTCCCAGCCACTGTCGGCCCATCTCTGTCGGTAGGGCACCCTGCACTCCTGGAGGGGACATAGTTTATGAGCAGGGCTGGGATAGGACAATGGCTTTGTCTCTACTGTGCTTTGTGACCTTGGGAGGGTCACCGAACCTCCCTGTGCAAGGTGGTTAGACATCCATGCTTCTGTGTGCCTAGCTCCCCGACTTTCAGCCGTACGAGGCCTAGAGGGTCAAACTGCTTGCATAGACTTCGACATCAGTGGTATGGGCCTTGTCAGCCTCCGTTGGCAGTGCAGGTCCGCCTGTCTCTCACTTCATGGGAAGAAGCTCCATCCCCTCCTGCCCCAGGAGTGTGAGCTGGGCACAGAGGAGGTTTGTAGCGCCTGTGTGGCTGCTCTCACTCGATTCTGCCCCTCAATGGCCACAGTTTTGTCTGGCTCTGGCCAATTGTCCCAGGGCTCCAGGGACCTCCTGGCTCCTGTGAGGCTGTGGTGACTTAAGATTAGTCCTGGACCAGCTGCTCTTATGGCAGGGTCATGCTGTTCCGTACACCTGGCAGGGAGCCCAGGGTCACTGGTCAGGGAGTCCCAGCAGGAGGGGCTGGAAAGCCAGAAAATGAGTGTTCCTGGGCAGCTGGGAAGTTTCTATGCAGGTGAGTGGCAGCTCGCCTCCCCCTCCCCCATACGCACGCCACAGTCGTAGCTCAGTTACAAGATCACACCATGTATATTTAATAGAGCCGGCCTTCTGCCTGGACGGAAGGGAGCTGCCCGCTCTGGCATTGTGTGTTAGAGCTGGGTGGCTGCTGCTAATGACCGCAGACTCAGCCTTAGGCTAGCTGGTGCCAGGCTTGCCTCTGGGTCCCTGGTGAGACGAGCCAGTTCTGGGGGAGCCTCTAGAGTGTCCACACATTTCTGTCTATGGTTGTACCGAGCCTGGGTTCAGCACCTGCAGGGTCTTCCATGCCCCAGCATGCTGCTGGCTTCCCAGAGAGCCCTGTGTAGCACCTGCCCATGTAACCTCCCCCAGGGTTGAGGAGGACCATAGGGACTGAACATTCTGGAAACTCAGAGCCAGCTGGCAAGTGTCCCAGGTTAGGAGACCTGGTCGTGCATTTCTCACGGGTACAAGGTGAAGACACCAGGGTTAATCTAGGTGTCTCTGTGCCCAGGAAGTGACAATGGGTTTTGGACCTGGCCGAGACTTAATGTATTTTGCTTATGTAAACTCATTTTGTCTTTAAGCCACCCTCTGTCAGGGCAGTTGTTCCTGCTTAAAAGATGAAGAAACAGGCACAGAGAGGTTAGGTAATTCGCCCAAGGCTACATAGCTAGAAAGAGCCAGACTCAAGATTTGAGCCCAGGCCGTACGGGTCTTAATTCCCAGGCTGCTTGTCTCCATGAAAAGGAGGTTCAGTCTCTTCTGGGATGTCACTCTGGGGGTCCCCTTTAGGAACCTGCATCTTTTACTATTGCTTCTTCCGGGTCAAGGATTGTTCTTTGTACCTTGTGTCTGGTTCACTGATGGTGACAGCAGGTGCAGCTTAGGGGACAGTCCTAGTGGGCAGCTGTTGGATGCAGTGTATGCCACCAGCCTCCAAGTCCTCAGGCACTTAGGGGACCAAGACGAAGCCAGACCTGGCCACTGTTCTTCAGGAGTTCAGAGTCCATTGTGGAGAGAGACCAAGTCTGTGTTGTTACCTGGCATGGTGAGGTACCTGGTGTGGCTGGAACCCAGGGAGGCAGGAGCAGTGCCAGCTCTAGCTAGAGGGTACACAGCAGCTGGGAGGTGGGGATCAGGGCTGGGCTGGGGCAGTAGTATGTGATATGTCACTCAAGAGAAGAACAGGGTGTCGGTTCGGAAGAAAACAGCAGGAGGCATGCATGACACCAGGTGGGCAGGGCGGTGGGGGCGGATCTGGGGAAGGGATCACTGAATGGAGGATTGTTTTCTCAGCCCACTTGGCCGGGTCCCTGCCTCCGTCCTGACCTTGCTCGGTTCAGGCCCCACGGAGCTGGACCACCGCTGCCTCTGGGCTTTGCGATTACCACCGATTGCTTGTTCGGCTCCTTGATCCCAGCAGAGGCAGAAGCGAGGCCTGTTAAATAATAATGTGGCTCACCAGGGCCTGTGTCAACACCGCGTCCCCGTGTTCATTATCTGCACCGCCACCTTCAAAGTCTAATCCAGTTGTCTGGAGTTTATTCGGAGTGAGCGATTGCTGGAGGGGGAGCTGGCTGTGGGGTGATTGTTGCATCTTCATTAGAAAAAAAAAAACAACTACAAAGACATTGGGGACAGCAGGCCTGAGGCATGCGGGGTGAGCACCGCTAGGAGGGTGTGGTGGGGTATCAGGCACGTCTGCTCCCACGGGAGTGGCCTGGGGTCTCTGCCTCCCACTCATGGGTCAGGGAGGGGTGGTGGGGACACGGCTGGGGCTGTGGATGTCCTTGAGTTATTAGATCTATGTAATGCTGCAGACAGGTTGACCAGCTTGGTGTGCAAGTGGGTACCAGTCAGAAACAAGCTCGTTTGTCGTATTTTAAAGATTTAATTTTTAAGGTTTTTTTTTTAGTATATAAAAAACATATAGCATGCATATGTGTCTCTATGTGGTTATGTATTATGAGTGTGGGTGTCCACGGAGGCCAGAAGATACCCGTGGAGCTGGAGTTAAGGCAGCCAGAAGATGTTTGACGAGAGTGCTGGGAATGGAACTTGGGTCCTTTGGAAGAGCAGCAAGAGTTTT